ATTCCGGGAACCCAAGAGGAAAGCAAATTTTGGGAATGATGAGGTCAACAAATGTATAGGTGTGCTTTGCACAATTGATCTATGTATTGTGATTAATTGTATGAGCCCTAATAAATTGATTAAAAAATTTTTTAAAGTAACCGATTTATTTTCCCATAATTCTCTTATAAGGGAATTGGAGTCTCTTCCGAATTTCTACTATCAGACATTCATTCAGTTCATTCATTTAGTGGGCAACTACTAGATACCAGCTACTGTGCTAGGTGTAGGAGCCCTGGTGGCATAGTGTTTTTAGGCCTTGGACTGCTAAGGATAAGGTCAGCAGTTCGAACCCAGCAGCCTCCGCCTGGGAGGAAGATACAGGGGCAGTTCTACCGTGTCCTGTAGGGTATCTATGACTTTAAGGAGGTGAGCTGGGTTTGGGTTTGCTGCTAGGTGTGCCGAGATGAAGGAGACCTTTTCTGTCTCAGAGAGGTTTGCAGTCTGTTGGAGAGAGACCCCAGGTTTTGATTATTGGTTATATAGAGAGGCAGAGTGTGGGGAAGCAAGAACTTGAGAAGTGGGAGAGAGGTAGGAGTTGGAAGGAAATATGGGAGAATTAATGATATTGCTTTGGGCGGCCCCCCACTGATAATGACTACCTAATGCTTCTCCACTTGGGGCTCAGATATCTTAGGAGGCTAAACAATGCAAATATGCCGTGCTTTACCCAATACAAATATTAGAGACCAGTGTAGCCCTTAAGTTAAATCATTTTAAATGTTCTGGAGCAAGCCTGTGTAAATGAAACATGAAAGATCAGTTCAGTGAATAATTTGTTTCTCAGTTATCATTGTGTATGAAAATTCTAATTTGTTTATAATATGTTTATTATAAGTATCATGTTACTCACTGAGAATTCAAAATTACAGGTACAATAATTCAGCCATAATCTGGCCATTTAAAGGCTACTTAATATTGTATTGTTCCATTTCCCCCCCACTACTCTGTAGATGTAAAGTTAATATGCATTGGCCTTACTCTGGACTAGGCAGTATGCCAATCGCTCTCATACATGGAAAACTCCTGTAATTCCCACTCCAACCCTGTGTGGTAAGTATGATTGGTAGTAGGTATTTATTACTGAGAAGGAAACTGATTTTAAGGAAACAATTTACCTGAAGTTGCACAACTTACTCTTTACAAAACCAAGTTCATTTTCTGCAGGAGCACTGGTGCCCAGTGGTTACGAGTGGGGCTGCTAACCTCAAGGTCAGCAGTTCAAAACCACCAGCTGCTCCCAGAGAGAAAGATGAGTCTTTCTACTCCTGTAAAGATATACAGTCTCGAGTCATAATTAACTTTATGGCAGTGGATTTTTATATAACACGGACATTACTCAATGTCACTAAAATATTCTAATATAGTTTGTAGTTTTCTGTTGTGCTAATGTATCATGACTTGTTCAGTCCCCACTGATGGCACTTTCAGTTTGTTTCCAGTGTCCACGGTGTTAATGGCTCCATTAAATATCTTTCTAGCTAGTTCTAGCTGTGTGCACACTGATTATTTTGATAATTTTGCTTGGAAGACCCTGTCGAGTCTTCCATGAGCCTTCTGTGTAGAGCTGCACAGCTCCAGGAACACAAGGAAGTTATCAGATGAAAAATGGGACATACAGATGCTCGTAAAATATCATTTGTTTTTGTAATGCTGTGATAAGCCAAAAGACTGATTTCCTAGGGAACCGTGGAAGAATGGAGCGGTGTGCATTTTTCCAGAACTGCCTCAGAAATGAAGCCTGCTTCTACTCTTTGCTTCTTTCGTACATAGTGAGGCACATCAGCTATTTCAAATCCTGCATTTGGCATATCTGTCACCAGGTTTAGAATAAACCCCAACAATT